GCTTACTAATTTTAGCTATAAGTAAATACTATATAGTTCTAGTATTTTGTGTAAATATAATCTTAAATCCTATATTAACTATAGGATAGTGTTAGGAATAAAGGTAGTATTTATAGTAGATAAGGTTATAAGTAAAGCTAATATATTATAAATATATTATTATAAATAGAAAGGGTATATTATTATATATAACTTATGCACTTGTTATATTATAACACGCACTAGTGTTATTACTATTACTTATAATATATTATCTTTAGCTATATCTTTATACTAATATACTTCTATAATATAGTTATTAAATAATAAGTTATTATACTATAGTTATGCTATATTAGTGTAATAGAAGTGTAGAGAGGGTATACTAACGTGTTATATTAGGTACATGTGTAAGGGGTTAAGAATTAATTTAGAGTATACTAGATTATTATTATATAGATTTATATATATTACTATAATTATATTATTATTACTTATTATAACTAACGCTAATAAGTTATATTAGCTTATATAGATTTATACTATATCCTTTTATTTACCTACTCCTCTATATACTAGAGTATAATAGTTATATTAATAGAGTAAGATATAAATATTTAGGAATACACTCTTACTAACCTATATTAGCTATATATAGTTTATATTTACTAAAACATAGTTATTATATAACCTAGATTAGTATATAAGTTATACTAGACTAGGAATTAATATAGATTAATATAGTAACTATAACACTATTTAAGAGGATAATATTACAAGTTACTAAATTTAGGGGTAATAACCTATCTACTATACTATAGTATTCTAAAAGTAGGGTAATCTATCCTTTAGATACCCTATTAACTATATATTATATATTAATATATTTTACTAGGCTAGGTATAGAACTAATATATATTAGCTTAGGATAGAAAATAGGGCTATTATATATATTAGTTAACTACTATAAGATATAGTAGTCCCTACTATAGAAAGCCTAGTTATAGAAGAAGAGGCTCTTTATCTTTAATAGTACACTATTAAAGTTAAGATTATCTTTATAGAAGTTTTTATTTAATTTAGTATTAATAAACTTATAATAGATATGTTATATATAAGCGTAATATAATAGGATATATTAAATAAGTATATTATATAATTAAAGAATTACTCCTTCCTATATAGATAAATCTAGTAGTAACTAGATAAGCTATATAAGGAGAAATAGATTACCCTCCTATATAGTATCCTATAAAGAACTATATATCTATTATAATATAGCAAGTTTATATCTTAGATAGTATATCTTATAGTATAAAGCCCTTTAATAGTAGATAGTAATAAGCTAACTATACTATTAACAGGCTATCTTACCTAGACTATACTAGTTAGACTAGCTTTCTTTTATATAGAATAGTAGTAATATAGTCTTATAGTAGCCTAGAAACCTTTCTTAGAATATCCTTAGTCTATAAGGCTAACTAAGGTATAAGGAGAAGAAACTAATACTAAGTAAGGATTTAAGTAAAGCAGATTATCTAGGAGTAGCCTAAGCTAGTTCTACCTCTATTAGAAAGAGGTTAAAAGAGTCTCTATAACGCTTAAAAAGGCTACTATAAATAGTGTCTAACGCCCCTAATTT